TTTTTTTTTTTTTGTGTGTATAGTTTTTCTGAAATTAATTTTTATTTCAGTTTTAGTTATGTTAGTTCATCATGTTAAAACAAAAAGTCAGAAATTTTCTTTGGCAACCAGCTAAAATAAAATGTATTAAAAAAAAATATTTCGGTTAATGTTAATTTTATTTCAAGTGACAAAAATATAATAAATATAAAAACCCTTCAGCTTGTACATATATTTGTGTAAATTATATATATGTCTGTACATTGCTGTCAACTGTATTTTTGTACACTTTTTTTTTTTTTTTACATTTTATATCTTGTATTGATGTATTTAGTTCATGTATGCTCCTGCACATTTAGGCAAATAAAACGTGTTCTGATTCTGAATAACGTGTCATTTTCAGTGCTGTTGATGCATCTTTCTGGTGTTGTAGGTTCTGCTGGTCACGTCGTCCTTCATGTCGCCCACAGAGAGCCGTAACGGCACGAACACAAGCCGAGTGCGCTTCTTCGGGCCGAGCCAGCTGGTGAAGGCCACGGCGCAGGAGAAGTGGGACCGTGTGAAGATGGTGTGCAGTCAGCCTTACAGCAAGGTGAACATGTCATGATAGTCCCTCCAGATGCATAGCACCACTCCTGCGTGTGAGCGAGTCTTTATTGTGTGTTTGTGTGCAGTCCACAGCGTATGGAGTCTCCTTCATAAAGCTGCAGTCTCCTCCAGACGCTGACGATGCTCCCGTCTCGACTCCTCCGGTGAGTGCTGCTCCTCCAGAGTCCCGCTGTTTGACGGCGTGAACTCTTACACATCTGTTCGCTCTCTCCTGACAGAAACTCACTAAACTGGGTCAGTTCAGAGTCAAAGACGAATCCCCTTCCTCTGGCTCTAATATCCAGCCGGGAAGCCTGTTCTTCAGCAGAGACGGTGGCACTGCTAAAACCAGCACGGGACTCAAGGGTAATGCACTTCACAGGATTGATGGACACTGTTTGTAATGAAACCATGCATGATGATGTAACGGTGAACCGCGAGCCGATTCAAATCGGTTGAGATGCTAAACAAATCGCGATTCAGTTATGGGTAGGAGTTTATATGAATGCATGTCTGAGAGGAACTTACACGGTGCGATTTTTGCTGTCGTACGAGCTCGCAGGCGATTTTTTTTATCTCGGGAGAAAATCGCAGATGGTCGCGGCTCGTATCGTGTGAGAAGAATTACGGGCCGATCCGAGACGTTACGAGCACCTCTCGTCCTCCCGATAATTTTCAAACATGTCAAAAAAAATCGGATGCTGTCGGTTTAAATTTGTGGCGTATGTGCGGTTGAACGAGACGATTTGGCGATCCATCTGAAGTTGACCAATCAGAAGATGACAAAAACCATATAGTCTATAATAATTTTAGTTTAATTATACAGTTCTATTTTTTATTTGTTATTCCGAATGTGCCAAATTTGCCGTTCAGCTTTATGAATGAATATGCCTGTTGTATTTCCGGCAAAATGAGCAGAAATTCAGATATTGGCCTACTCCCTCGAGTTCTTTATGAAGAACAGAAAGTCCATGCTTTTCTCTGCTTTTCAGTCAGGGTGTCCGTGGGTCCTTAAAAAGTCTTAAAATGTCTTAAATTCGGATTCGATGGGTCTTAAATATTTTTTTATTTTATTTTTGAACTCAGCATCATCACATTAGGTCACATTAGACCATTTTTGCAAATCAGCACAATTATTTCCAAGATGCAGGGCTGCTTTTGCTGGTATATTTTGTGCACATGATCTAAAATAATCTTTATAAAACAGAGAGTTCCGGTCCTTGATTCTGATTGGCTGAGCCGCGTTCGAAGCTGTTGTAAATGACTCTACAAAGTAACATACACCTTTGTTTACGTTTGTCTGTTGCAATTTATAACAGCTAAGGGGGTTTTAGGCACTCATTGCTTTAAGTCACCACTTCAAATGTATTTTGTTACTGTTCCTTATAAAGCAAATTATCAAAGTTTTGTTTTTCTGCCAAAGCCAGATGTGATCCATGTTTAGAGAGTGTTAATATTGTACACAGAGGTGAATGTAATCAATATAGTTATTTTATTTCTCTCTCTGTTTCTATCAGTGTCTCCTCAGAACGTCAGATTGAGTTACGCTGCTCTGAAATCTGAAGGTTCGTCCACACCGTCGTCTTCCAGCAGCTCACAACAGGTGCTTATTTTTCAAGAAATTAAAGAAATTAGTACTTTTATTCATCAAGGACACATTAAATTGATCAAAAGTGACAGTAAAGACATTTAAATTCAGCTTTGATCACAGAAATAAATTACATCTTAACAGATATTCACATAGAAAACAGCTGTTTTAGATTCTAATAATATTTCAAATTTTTTACTGTATTTTTGATCAAATAAATGCCTCCGACCCCAAACTTCTTAACGGTTGTTCTCTCTGTTTTTGACCCTGATGTGAACACCCGAGTGTTTCTTTATTAGGGAATCGAGCTCGTGAACTGTCCCGATATAACCGTATTCCTGTCCTCTAACTAAAGAGCAGCTCGTTTACCTTCCTTATTAAATTAGCTCCAGCTCTTCGGTGACCATAAATCATCTCTCCGAAGCGAACCTGATGCTGGTGTTTTTGTGCTGAAGCGGCAGATATTTTGTAGCCACCTGTAATGGATTATTGACCTTTTATAGCGTTCCAGAATCATATCCTTATAATTAGAACTGAGAAACTGTGAATCTCAGCAGGATCCGAGATGAAGATGCTGCAGCTGCTGTAGGACAGAGGTTATCGAGTGATTGCTTTTATCACGCTCTCTTTAGAAAATATTAAGCGCTTGAATGTTAAGAAACCTGTAAGACTTTCTTCTGTGCACAAGAAGAGGATCTGGTGAGGATCGAGCAGAAGGTCTGGTGACTGTGTGTCTGTGTGTTTCTCATAGGCTCCTGTGAAGAGGAAGTTTGAGTTCAGTAAAAAGCGTCTGGAAGCCGCCGGTCCGCCGCCCAAAAAGCCCAGTTCATCTGGTTCTTCTGAGGCTAACTCTGCCACACCGAAGTCTAAAGCAAGAACCGGAGCAACTGCGAGTCCTGTCAGCAGCGGTAAATGAAGAGCCGAATGCATTAACTCAGTGGTTCTCAGAAACTAGGAGTGTCCAGGGATTAAAATAAGTATAATTGAAATACATTTCTGGATTGAAGAAGTTTTAAGAGCTGAATGTGCTTCTGCTCTTTTAAGCGAAATAATCTGTGTGATTTTCCAGATTTACTGTATTTTTTACACTCAGTTTTACCTGATTAAACATTTCAGAGCTTGACAAAGCTCTATTCAGAAATAGCATAAGGTTTAATTAAAGGAATAGTTACAGTACACCCCGATATGGAAATGTGCTGATAATTTACTCACCCTCAGGCCATCTGAGATCAGGATGAGTTTGTTTCTTCATCAGATCTGGAGAAATGTAGCTTTCCTGGCTCTTCCAAGCTTTATAATGGCAGTGAATGGGTGTTATTTTTCAATAGTCCAAAAGAAGTCCAATAAAGCGCATCCATCCATCATAAAAAGTGCCTCACGCGGCTCCGGGGGGTTAATAAAGGCCTCCTGAAGTGAATCGATGGGTTTTTATAAGACAAATATCCATATTTAAAACTTTATAAACCGTAATCTCTAGCTTCTGCTAAGTGTTGTACGCGTGTTCATTCCAGCGGATGACGTAGGCGTAGCGTAAGCTCTGGTGAGAATATGCTCGTCTCGTGAGAACCAACGTTTGTTTACAGGGGCAAAGGAAACCCAGTCTCCTCTCGGCTTATATCGAAATCCTCCCATATTGTTCTTTATAAATCTTCGTTTTGTGATTCTAATTCGTGACCGGTGTTTTGTTTTGCTCTCTCAACTGCGCTTAATCATTCATCACTTATCATCAGAATGCGCGTACGACAGTTAGCGGAAGCTAGAGATTACGGTTTATAAAGTTTTAAAAATTTATATTTTTCTTACAAAAACGCATCGATTAACTTCAAGACGCCTTTATTAACCCCCGGAGCCGTGTGAGGCACTTTTTATGATGGATGGATGCGCTTTATTGGACTTCTTTTGGACTCTTGAAAAATAACACCCATTCACTGCCATCATAAAGCTTGGAAGAGCCAGGATATTGTTTTATATAACTCAGATTGGATTCGTCTGAAAGAAGAAAGTCATATACACCTAGGATGGCTTGAGGGTGAGTAAATCATGGGGTTAACTGATGGACTGGAGTGCAGTGGATTACTTGTGATGTTTTTATCAGGCTCTCATTCTGACGGCACCCATTCACTGCAGAGACACTGATGGAATATCTTCAGTTGTTTTAGCTTTTTAAAACTTGTTTTTATTCATATTAAGTAATCTTGAGAACCACTGCTCAGAGTGTTTCCATTGTAGATGCAACTGAATTCTTATCGCGCTTCTTAAATTTGCAGCTTCTCCAGCCCAGAAGACATCAGACAAGCGAGAGAGTCCTAAATCCAAGCCAGAGCTCAAACCTAAACCTAAAGCCAAGTCTGCAGAACCGGTGCCTTTTAACCGCATCATGGAGGGAGTGGTGTTTGTCCTGAGCGGCTTCCAGAACCCCCTTCGCGGAGAGCTGCGGGACAAAGCGCTGGCCTTGGGAGCCCGATACCGAGCCGACTGGACCCCAGACTCCACACACCTCATGTAAGGAAGCGTTCAGAGCCTCACGACGTGATTCAGCGTTCAGAACCGCCTCGTGTTTGTTCAGAGTTTTTGTGTCTCTCCTGCAGCTGTGCTTTCGCCAACACGCCCAAATACAGTCAGGTGAAAGCAGCCGGAGGCGTCATCGTCAGGAAGGAGTGGGTGATGGACTGCCACAAAACAAAGCAGAAGATTTCCTTCAAACGGTGAGCATGAAGTTCTCATTTCTGTTCTGTCATTATTGGTAGCTGATGTGAGTTCAGATCATGAGAATCACGGGAATTGCATCATTTCAGGTCAGTGGTGTTATAGTAAAAAAAATAAATAAATAAGTTCATTTATTGAAATAAGCTGAAATAAAATATAAGTATTAGATGAAAAGCTTTAAAGATAAAAGTTTAAATACTAAAATGACTTTAAAAAGCACAATAAAATTGCTGAAATAAAATTAAAATTAAATAGAAATATAAAAAAATTACAAAAGCATTCATTACTAAATTTAGTATTACTAAATTACTCAAATGTATTTTAAGACATTAAAATAAAGCTAAATAAAAAATATTAAAGAAAACAAAAACTAATAAGACTGACAAAAGCACATAATTACTAAAAGTGAAATAAAAATAAAGCTAAATACAAATGTTTAAAAAAAACTGATACAAATCACAAAAGCACAACAAAATTACTAAAACTGAAATAAAATAAAGCTAAATAGAAATACTAAAAACTAAAAAATGACAAAAGCACAATACATTTACTAAAACTGAAATAAAAATAAAAAGCATTAATTACTAAATTTAGTATTACTAAATTACTAAAATGTATTTTAAGACATTAAAATAAAGCTAAATAAAAACATTAAAGAAAACAAAAACTAATAATACTGACAAAAGCACATAATTACTAAAACTGAAATAAAAATAAATAATAAAGTAAAGCTAAATACAAATGTTTAAAAAAAAAGATACAAATGACAAAAGCACAACAAAATGACTAAAACTGAAATAAAATAAAGCTAAATAGAAATACTAAAAACTAATAAAAATTACAAATGCACAACAAAATACAATTACTAAAACTTAAATGAAAATGAAAACTAAAAATATAAAAATAATTAAGTTAATTTAAAAACATTAAAGTAAAAAAGTCATTAAAAATATTAATAAATACTAAAAAAATATATAAATAATACTAAACTAACACTGATTCAGACATACAGTATTTACATGCAGTTATCATTTCTGACACGATGTGAACTGAATGTCCAGTGTTTTTCTGACAGTCTGTGTAACTGAAGAAGCGTGAGGTTAATTTTGCCCATGCTTTAAAACAAATACCACAGCAAAAACAACTAGATTATTAATATAAATGTCAAATATGAAAGTGTTAAAGACAAGTAAACAGTCAGTAATAAGATAGGAACAAACAAATCAATTAGCAATATCCTAAATAAATACAACTGAACCAAATTTCAGGTACAGAAACTGTAATTAAAAGTTTAAAAACACTGCATAGTTTTCTTTTCATAAATAAAATATAGATTAATCAATTAAAGTTATTAAATATATTCAGTCAAATCAGTGAATGATTTTCTTTTGTTCTTAGATTAACATTAATGACAGGCAGTGCGTTTATTAGGCTGCTGTCTCTTTAACACCGAACGCACGCAGATCTAAAAATACTGTACATGTGTGTTTTCTTTCTCATCTGTTTACGTTCACGTAAGACAAAAACAGCTGTGTTTATGATGATATACTGACCTAGTTTTCTGCATATTGGTGCATATTCACCTCTATTCTCTGTGCTCGCGCTTCGTGTGCGCTGCACGCAAACAGATTTCAAAGCAGAATCGAAATGCACGCGTCTTATCGAATACCCGGTTCTTGGAAATTTGGAACCGGTTTTCGATACCCAACCCTACTACACACACAGATCTGGCTCTGCACTCATTTGCTAGTCGAGTCACGCAGATGCTGATGCACTGGCTCTGATAGAGACGTTGCCGGTCTATAATGACCCATCTGAGTGTGCAGTTCGTTTAAAGTGTGCGTGGAGCAAAAAGTGCTCTGAATAATGAATGATTGAAGTCCGTCTCTCAGCAAAGGCCACATGAGGTCTGAGTTTCTCCTAGACTAAAGAGCTGCTCGCTGCACATTAGTGGTTATGTTTTGTGGCATTGCTGTTGCGTTGCATTGGTTCTCCAGTGTTTCTGCAGGTGGGTTTGTGTTGATTTATCTGTGAAGGTGCTTAAGATAAAGCTGAAGATGACAAACTAAACAGCCATGGCTTCATTCATTGGTTAGTCTGTGCAATACCACTAACCCATATCAAATATTCACAGTGATTATGGGAATATAAAATTATGCAACTTCATGAATAGTGCAATATTTGATTTAATGCACTTTTTTTTTTTTTTTTTTTAAATGATAGACAAATATTCAAACTGGTATTGATGGTAAATATTGCTATTAATGATTTATGTATTGTTATATTGGTGCATATAAATGAAAACAATTAAATAGATTTTTTTCAAAACAGTTTGAAAAACATTTGAACCAGATTTTTACTTAATTTTAAATCTCAGTATTTTAAATCTACTTCACTGATGCATCATCTGATTTAAAAAAAGGATGTATGTATAATTTTTTTTGTTTGTTTTAAATGACAAAAGCACAATGAAAGGGTGTTTCCGCCACTTAATAACAAATAAAAAAACAGGATAATTGCTTTTTTTTTAAATCTCATAGTTCTGACATTTTTTCCCAGAATTGTGAGTTATAAAGTCTAATTCCGAGGGAAAAACAAGACTATTGTCTAATAATTGCGAGTTTATATTTCACAATTCTGACTTTATAACTCGTAATTGTTAGTTTATATCATGCAATTTTGAGAAAAAAAATATTGCAGAATTTGTCAGTTGTCATCTGTTAAAGCTAAACTTTTAAAAGTGACAAAAGCACAGGAAGAAAAAACTCTAGAAATATAGAGATATGTGTGTGAACCAGATTTTTACTGTATTTTATTTTTTACATTTCAATCTTTTGAATTTACTTTATTGATGCATTCTCTTATTAAAATATATGTGTCTTTAATATCAATATGTGTGTGTGTATATGTGTGTATATGTGTGTATGAGTGTGTGTGTGTACATACACTTTACTTTACTTTACTTTTAGTCATTTAGCAGACGCTTTTATCCAAAGCGACTTACAAATAAGAAAAAGTAATTAAAACTAAAAGCTAAAACTCTATAAATACTATATATATACAGACAGGTGTGTGGCTTTCCTAATCAAGTCCAATCAGTATAATCAAACACAGCTGGACTCAAATGAAGGTGTAGAACCATCTCAAGGATGATCAGAAGAAATGGACAGCACCTGAGTTAAATATATGAGTGTCACAGCAAAGGGTCTGAATACTTAGGACCATGTGATATTTCAGTTTTTCTTTTTTAATAAATCTGCAAAAATGTCAACAATTCTGTGTTTTTCTGTCAATATGGGGTGCTGTGTGTACATTAATGAGGAAAAAAAATTAACTTAAATGATTTTAGCAAATGGCTGCAATATAACAAAGAGTGAAAAATTTAAGGGGGTCTGAATACTTTCCGTACCCACTGTATATACACACATTTAAGAAAATAAAATAAATTAAATAAAAATGACAAATGCATACAACAACATTTCAAAATACATACACAAAAGATTTTATATATATATTATATTTTTTTTGATTACTGTCAAAAAGCTGGAATATATTGTTTTGTGTGTGTGTGTTATTTTTGGTATATATTGCCCGGCCCTGGTGATTATCATAACAGTGCTGCTTGATAAAAGCCCAGTGCTGAGCGTGTTTTGTGTGTGTTTATCCGTTTAGCAGTCGTCTCGTCTCATGTTCTTCTGTGCCGGCTCTCCATTGTGTCCGCTTCGAGTGCCCACCTCAGTTTATGTATTCTGTATTTAAAAGCTGCATCTGCCATGCGTAATTAAAGCAGACACTTCCTTTGAAGATGAGGAGGGTGTATCTGTCCGCGCACACGTCTCTCAAACACACACACACACGCTCACGCTCACTCACACACACACACTCTCACACACTCGCTCACACACTCGCGCACACACGCACACACACTCTCTCGCACACACACACACTCTCTCACACACACACACACACACTCTCTCTCTCTCTCTCACTCTCACACACACACACACACACACTCTCTCTCTCTCTCTCACTCTCACACACACACACACACACACTCTCTCTCTCTCTCTCACTCTCACACACACACACACACACACTCTCTCTCTCTCTCTCACTCTCACACACACACACACACACACTCTCTCTCTCTCTCTCACTCTCACACACACACACACACACACTCTCTCTCTCTCTCTCACTCTCACACACACACACACACACACTCTCTCTCTCTCTCTCACTCTCACACACACACACACACACACTCTCTCTCTCTCTCTCACTCTCACACACACACACACACACACACTCACTCTCTCTCTCTCTCTCACACACACACACACTTTCTCACACTCACACTCACACACTCACTCTCTTACACACTCACACACACACACTGGTTTGTTTTTGTGAAAAGTGGGGACTCTCCATAGGCGTGGTGTGTGTCCTTGCAGAACCTCCGAACGCTTTTCTCGAACCCTTTTGCACACACTTCTGTTTTATTCCCATTAATACTTCTGCTTGATAAAGCAGACGTTGATTGTTTGTTTTCATGCACATTTTAAAAGAATATCTCACCTAAAACCATTTGAAAATTGATAATTTTATTATATTATTTTCTTTCGTCAATGAAACAAACATGAAATGTTGAGCAGAATCTCCAAGCTGCTCTCGTCAATACAGTGCGATGGCGATTTACACGGTTCACTATATTCCACGTCTTCTGAAGTCACATGACATATGTCTTAAAGTAAATGAGTCATATGGACTATTGTTATAATTCTTATATTATGTTATAATATTTATAATACAGCCACAATCCCCATTATTTTACAGGAAAAAGAACATTTTGGACATTCTGCAAAATATCTCCTTTTGTTTTTTCAACAAAAAAGATGCATCTTTTTAATCTCAATTCTGACTTTTTCTGAGTTTACATCTCGCAGTTAATAACTCGCAATTGCAGTATATAAACTTTTGCAAGTCTGAGAAAAAGTCTGAATTGCATGATACAAAGGTAGTTGCAAATTATTATTTTTTTAAATCTTACAATTGACTTTTTTTCTCCAAAATTGCATTTTTGAGGAAATTCTGAGGGGAAAAAAGGTCAGAAAAATATTTAAATTGAGTTAAATTTTAACTTTTAATTTTAAGAGTTTATAACTCGCAATTGTGAGATATAAATCACAGTTCTGCGGAAAAAAAGTCAGAATTGCATGATATAAACTTTGCATTTACATCTCGCAATTCTGACCTTTTTTTCTCAGAATTGACATTTCACAATGAATATTGCAATTATGAGATATGATAATTTTGTTATATTTTTTAATGCTTGGCGGAAATAAGCTTCCATAGATTTAGAACAACTCAAGGATGAAATTATGACTGTTTTGATGATTTCTTTAATGGAGCAAAATGTAAAGGTACTGGGAAAAAAAATTCTGTATTACAGGATTTCAGCTCCTGAATTAATGTTCAGGTTTTTCCAGGTATCTCATGAATGGAGCCGAGTCCAGTTCGGAGAGTGAAGCAGAAGAGGATGAGAGCGAGGAGGAGACGCAGAAAGCGGTAACTGCTTTATATATGCTCACGTCTCAAGAAACATGCAAAACTGTCTTCCCTTCATTCGTGAATAAAAAGAGCATCATAACCTTGCGTGTTGTTGCCATAGAGACGACATCCTCAGATTTGTTGACTTCCTGTCACGCATCATCGACTCAAGCAGGAAGCACATTAACGCGAAACAACTGCATAAGCATTGATTTTCTCGTGCTTCTCTAGAAAACACCAGAAAAGAGGCAGCTGACCCCAAAAAAGCAGGCGATTAAGGAAGAAGAGGAGGAGTATGGAGGTTCAACGGATGCTGAAGATCCAGGTAAAGACTATAGAAATCGAGTATGCTTATCTTCACTTAAAAACATCTGTTGACTGCTTTCTAGAAATGCAACAGAATATTCACTTTCATTTCAACAAACCTGTAAAGCTCTTCCACACGAGTAGCTGAAGGATAACGAGTTTGTGAATCCTAGCTGAAGGATAACGAGTTGAACATTCTTGTGAAGGTTTACACCAGAGTTTATTATTATTTACTTAAATACTTTTATAGAGTTTAATAATATTTTAATTTTAGTTTCAGTAATTTTTGTCATTTTTATTAGTTTTAAATATTTCTATTTAGCTTTAATTCATATTTATATAATTCATATTCATATGTATGTATTTCAAGTTTAAGTATTAAAATAACTAAAATTATTTGAATTTTCATTTAAGTCGTTTTTTCATCTAATATTTATATTCTTTTAGTATTTCAATTAATTAGTTTTTTTTCTTCATTTTTATTAGTTTTTTTTATATTTCTATTTAGCTTAATTTATAAAAATAAAAAATATTTCAAGTTTAAGTACTAAAACTACTAAAACTGTTTTATTTTAATTAGTCGCCAAAGGAACATTTCTAATTTTCGTTTACATTTAAGTCATTTTTTTCATCTAATATTTATATTCTTTCAGCTTTTTTTTCAATTAATGAACATTTTTTATTTAAATTTTCAGTAATTTGATCTTTTTTTTGGTCGTTTTTATTTTTAAAGTATTTCTTTTTTGATTTAATTCATATGTATTTCAAGTTTAAGTACTAAAACGACTAAAACTTTCATTTTAGTTAGTCGCCAAAGGAACATTTCTAATTTTCGTTTACATTTAAGTCATTTTTTCATCTAATATTTATATTCTTTCAGCTTTTTTCAATTAATGAAATTTTTAAAATTTTAATTTTCAGTAATTTGATAATTATTTGCAATTTTTATTCATTTTTTAAATATTTCTATTTCGCTTTAATTCATATTTATTTCAAGTTTAAGTACTATTTTATTTTAGTTACCTGCTAAAGCAACATTTCTAATTTCCATTTACGTTTAAGTTGGTTTTTCGTCTAATATTTATATTTTTCAGCTTCATTTCAAATAATGAAAAATTTCAGCTTTTTCAATTAACGAAAAATTATTTTAGTTAACAATAATACACACAAATCGATAAAGCGGCACTGCAGCAAAACTGTTCTCCACTTTTGACATTAAAACCTAAACATGCACACGAGGCGTTGAAAAACCAGACAGGAAGCCGATAAAGTCGTTTACGTGCAGGTTGATAATCTAGTTGTTTTGCTTAAACGGCTTAAGCAGAATCAGTGTAAGATTATGCATTTAAACCGAAAAAATGTCCACAGCAAAGATCATTAATGGCCATTTTGAGCGATTTATTGATCATCACCTTCTGAAGCTGAACACATGCCAGAACAGGTAAGACTTGTCAACTGCGCTCAGGCCCTCATCGAAAATCGTTAGCATGTGAACCCGTTTGCCGTGGGGTCCCTTCACTCCGGCTGCGTGTCGCACGATTACGAGGGAGGACAGGAGAGGCCGGGTTAATGAAGCAGCGCTCCAATCAATCAGGAGAAATAAAAAACGGAGGGCCATAAGAGAGCAGTAGGATTGGAGAGGAAAAGGTGCGTCCACAGCAAAGATCATTAATGGCCATTTTGAGCGATTTATTGATCATCACCTTCTGAAGCTGAACACATGCCAGAACAGGTAAGACTTGTCAACTGCGCTCAGGCCCTCATCGAAAATCGTTAGCATGTGAACCCGTTTGCCGTGGGGTCCCTTCACTCCGGCTGCGTGTCGCACGATTACGAGGGAGGACAGGAGAGGCCGGGTTAATGAAGCAGCGCTCCAATCAATCAGGAGAAATAAAAAACGGAGGGCCATAAGAGAGCAGTAGGATTGGAGAGGCTGGAAGTGCTACAGACACTCGCCCGCAGCATTCGCACAGACGAGACTTGGGCATGTTTCTCATTTCTATGTAAATTGAGGGGCTGCAAGAGCAAGCCTCGCTCTCCTGGATGTGTTCATGCAACTTAAAACCATTCAGAGGAAAACGATGAATCATTGTCATGATCGTTATTAGGGCTGGACTGCATACTGTGCAATAATAGAGATGTCAACAGGTCGAGATTTAGATCTAGCACACAGAATATTGGGGAAATGCAGAGTGGCAATGCTATTTTAGTGTAACAGATACTATTATCATTTTTTCTTAATTTATTCATTTTTTATTAGTTTAGTTATTTTAGTACATAAAGTTTTTTTTATTATTTTTTGTAGTTTTTGTCTGTTTTATTTTTTTATTCATTTTTAATATGCCTGTTTTTATTAGTTTAGTTATTTTAGTACATAAAGTTTTTTATTTATTTTTTGTACTGAGATACTATTATTTTTTTATTAATATTTTGATTCAGTTTTTATATTTTAGTTTTTTATCTTTTTTATTATTTTTTATAATTTTGTTAATATGCCTGTTTTTATTAGTTTAGTTATTTTAGTACATAAAGTTTTTTATTTATTTTTTGTACTGAGATACTATTATAATTTTTTATTAATATTTTGATTGTTTTATTTTTATATTTTCTATATTTTAGTTTTTATCTTTTTTATTATTTTTTATAATTTTGTTAATATGCCTGTTTTGTATTAATATTTTGATTGTTTTATTTTTCTATTTTATATATTTAGTGTTTTGTCTTTTTTATTATTTTTTTATTCATTTTTAATATGCCTGTTTTTATTAGTTTAGTTATTTTAGTACATAAATTTTTTTATTTTTTGTGTTTCAGCTTTAGCAGAACATGATAGGCTAAAACTATAAGTCCTTACAGACTGAGATATACGTATTTGCGCATTTCATTTTCTGGACTATCCGTAATAGGCTTTCCTGCATGATTATTTAAATATTAAGATCAGTTTGTGGTGCATACTGTTGACTTAAAATACGAGTACTGTCTATTTCTATTATGTTTTTTCATGTTGTGCATCCGCTCGCAGAGGGCGACGCGTCTGGCATGGACACTGAAGATGAGCTGAACAGGTAAGACATTTATTGCTTTCTAAATACGTCATCATTATTGTCATCAGTTGTCCTTAATATTTTGACGTTCCCTGTTTGTGCTCTTTTCCCAGTTGTTTTTAGATTCTCGTTATTCAGGCTCTTGAAAAATGTTGTCTAAATGCAGCTAAAGAAGAGTTATTGATCAGGGTCAAAGTGCAAACCTGCACTTATTTGATCAAAAATACAGTAAAAATTGTGAAATATTATTAGAATCTAAAACAGCTGTTTTCTATGTGAATATCTGTTAAACTGTAATTTATTTCTGTGATCAAAGCTGTATTTTCAGCATCATTACTCCAGTCTTCAGTGTCACACGATCTTCAGAAATCATTCTAATATGCTGATTTGCTGCT